TACAAAGCTTAAAGAGCACATGTGCCATGACTATGGGCATTACCCAGTTTAGATAGGCAGTAAAAAAACTTTAAATCAAAACATCTCTGACCTTCCTATCTGCTTTTGTTGTGAAGTTAATTATTTCCCAACATTTGCTATTTGCTGTTAGTGTACATTTGAAGGTTGGCGGGCTGCCAAGATCTGTTCTCCTAGAAAAACACAGTGCCTATAATGGGAACTTTGAAAGTAATTTATTCACAGTGCTTATTGATACAGAGATGAATTAGAGCTTGGTTCAAAGACAAAACATTTTGTACTTTTGCGTAGAGTAAGGAAGGATTATAGCCCCTGTATTTTTTTGCCATCTGTGTTCTATTTGGCAGATTTACATTCACCTCCTGTTCCATAGTCAGAACAGGAAGAGAGAGCGAACCACTTCAAATTGACGGAATCCCATCAGAACTAGTGTCCTCATTCTATTCCTGCTCTGGTAACAACCCCAAATTTGGGATTTTCTTTTTTACCTTCACTCTCAGGGATAATGGTAAACAGGACAAATTGAGAAGGTGAATCCTACTAAAGGGGGCACAGACAGCAATAAGGACCCAACAGGGGTTCTAATCTCTCTCCTCTCTATCCAAAACTAAAAAAATAAGTTTTGCCTTTAGTTATAAATTTAAAGCGGAGTTCCACTCAACCTATCAAAAACTGTAGCTGCTGACTTTTAAAAAACAGCCACTTACCTGTCCCTCGATCCTGTGGTGTGTCCCCCCGCAGCTCATTTCACCGGCTGTCCTGTATTCCAGGAGGCTGACTTCTTCAGTGTGGGCACCCGGCTGTGACAGCTTGCGGCTTCACAGCCGGGTACCCACTGCGCATGCGTGAGTAACGCTGCGCTTCGTGAATGGTCCTGTAGTCTTCTGGGACCTGTCACGTGTCCCAAAAGACTACAGGGAGGGAGAGAGGACACCCTCCGGAAGTGGGAGCGGGTACCTGTCAAATTCAGGTACCCGCTCCCCCCCCGCTCCCCAAAGGTGCCAATCCTAAATGGGGAGCAGTCCTTCACAGGTTGCTACTGGAGTCCTCTTCCACTCCTCCGTGACGACATCACGGAGCTGGTGGATGTTAGAGACCTTGTGCTCCTCTATCTTCCGTTTGAAGATGCCCCACAGATGCTCATTAGGGTTTAGGTCTGGAGACATGCTTGGCCAGTCCTTCACCTTTACCCTCAGCTTCTTTAGCAAGACAGTGGTTGTCTTGGAGGTGTGTTTGGGGTCGTTATCATGTTGGAATACTGCCCTGCGGCCCAGTCTCCGAAGGGAGGGGATCATGCTCTGCTTCAGTATGTCACAGTACATGTTGGCATTCATGGTTCCCTCAATGAACTGTAGCTCCCCAGTGCCGGCAGCACTCATGCAGCCCCAGACCATGACACTCCCACCACCATGCTTGACTGCAGGCAAGACACACTTGTCTTTGTACTCCTCACCTGGTTGCTGCCACAGACGCTTGACACCATCTGAACCAATTAAGTTTATCTTGGTCTCAACAGACCACAGGACATGGTTCCAGTAATCAATGTCCTTAGTCTGCTTGTCTTCAGCAAACTGTTTGTTGGCTTTCTTGGGCATCAACTTTAGAAGAGGCTTCCTTCTAGGATGACAGCCATGCAGATAAATTTGATGCAGTGTGCGGCGTATGGTGTGAGCACTGATAGGCTGACCCCCCACCTCTTCAACCTCTGCAGCAATGCTGGCAGCACTCATACGTCTATTTCCCAAAGACAACCTCTGGACATGACGCTGAGCACGTGCACTCAACTTCTTTGGCCGACCATGGTGAGACCTGTTCTGAGTGGAACCTGTCCTGTTAAACCGCTGTATGGTCTTGGCCACTGTGCTGCAGCTCAGTTTCAGGGTCTTGGCTATCTTCTTGTAGCCTAGGCCATCTTTATGTAGAGCAACAATTCTTTTTTCAGATCCTCAAAGAGTTCTTTGCCATGAGGTGCCATGTTGAAATTCCAGTGACCAAATTTAACACACCTGCTCCTCATTCACACCTGAGACCTTGTAACACTAATGAGTCACATGACACCAGGGAGGGAAAATGGATAATTGGGCCCAGTTTGGACATTTTCACTTAGGGGTTACTCACTTTTGTTGCCAGCGGTTTAGACATTAATGGCTGTGTGTTTAGTTATTTTGAGGGGACAGCAAATTTATACAAGCTGTACACTCACTACTTTACATTGTAGCAAAGTGTCATTTCTTCAGTGTTATCACATGAAAACATAGATATATATAGATATAAAATTAAAAAACCTTTTGCATTGAAGTCAGTAGGGGCGTTTTTGCATTGGAGTCAATAGGACGGAATTTTGCATTGAAGTCACTTGGGGGGGGGGGGGGGGGGGCATTTTTCCATTGAAGTCAATAGGACACGATTTTGCATTGAAGTCAATAGGGGTGATTTTTCACTGGAGTCAATAGGGGGGTGATTTTTTTACATTGGAGTCAATAGGACACAATTTTGCATTGAAGTCAATGACATTGTTGGCACCTTTTATTTGTATTGGCAAAACGTCGATATCCCTATTTTCGGGCGATAAATTTTGGAGGGCGGTATATCGGTGCATCACTAGTATAGGCTAAACATAAAACAATCTTAAGATGTTCCTTTGATTAAGGCTGGCAATGGACAATGGGGAACAGGCCAAATGGACATTCATGACCTTAGGACATCAGCTTGCAGGGACTATTGATTGCTCTATTACCGTGTAAACTTTAGTAGCATAGGTTAAACTGGTTGAATACAGAAGGGTGTGTAACTGATGTGGCAGAGAATACAGATGTGTGCATTGTTAGTGGCGGTAGAAACTTAGGGGTTTAGTGGCAGTGGGGGCAGGCAGTGGTGTGTAGCATTGGATTTGTGGGAGTATGTAAGACTAGGTGGTGACAAGTGGGGGTAAGGTTTTTTTGGTATGAGTGTCAGGAGTGGTGGTGAGTGGGGGGGTGATGTGTAGGTGTGGGCATCTTCAGTGGTGAGCGTGTAGAAGGGTTGGCGTAAAGGCATAGTAGTGGGTGAGGGTTTCAGACATGGGGGTCAAAATGGTTGGCATAGTGGTGATGGGGGGGTAGAGGTGAAGGGTGCTGGCTCGGTGGTGGTGAGTGGTACCTCTGTGAGGAGCTGTCAGCACTAACTCCTGATGCAGTCCTACTGGCCAGCAGTGGAGGTTGGAAAGTGGTAGTGGTAATGTAAGCTGCAGGCTGGAGATTACAGACAGAAAACAGAGGTTACAGAGGTGGTATCAGTTTACTGGACCAGAAACGCCACATCCCATTGCAATACCTTCACTTCCTACAGGGACTGCAGTAGATGTGCTTCATGGTGGGTATGGCTGTTGTCGATGGCGCTGATTTCCATTTAAATGTTCATGCTACCGTGCAGTAGCAACACAATGGTTTTGATTTACTAAAACTGGAGAGTGTAAAATCTGATACAGCTGTGCATGGTAGCCAATCAGCTTTTAACTTGGCCTGTTCAGTTAAGCTTTGACAATAAAACCTCAAAGCTGATTGGTTTCTATTCAGAGTTGCATCAGATTTTGCACTCGCCAGTTTTAATAAAATAACCCCAATGTTATTAGCTACCTTTTGCATTTAGGCCTGTGAAGAACCCAGTAGCCTTGGCGCTCTGCACCTTGACAATGTATCTCTCTGCCTCTTCATGTTTCTAACTGCTAGTAATTCTGCCACTCCACCACTGTTCCCCATGTCACCTTCCTCCCCCCCCCCCCCCCCCCGTCACTTTTTTTAGGGACTTGCAAAGAGGGGTCAAGGCTGAGCATAGCTTTTCATGGTTCTCTGCCTACTTCTTTCTCCCTCCCCGGTGCAAGCTATAGAGACCAGGCAGACCTGGAAGTACTGAGCACATTATGTTTGTTTCTGGGGAGGAAATGGGGCAGAAGTGCACAATTTTGGGCTAAAGGGCAAGGGAAGGCAAACATTGAGCCTTCCACTACCTCCATCACTAGGGAACCCTTCCAATGTAGCAGCCATTTTATATCCAATATTCAGAACTAGTCTTTATTTTACTTTCAAGGTGAATGTTTTATTTGAAATGCAATCCACTATTTATCACTCCTACTCCAAAACTATTGGACCTTCTATGTTATTATTTTGAAGATGTATTCTCTATATCAGGCTCTTTTGTAACTTGTATTACAAGTGAGTTGAAGTGGCATTGGCTTGCCAACTGTAGAAACGCTAGTGATTAGGACAGATTTTCTTGTGATCACCTCCTAGTCTAGGTGAAAATTGCTAGATCCAAAGACCAACAACTCATGACTTGGGGGGCCTTTGAAATTTTGGTAAGAGATGTAAATATTGCCTGGTTTTACTCTATTAGTGCTCTCTGTACCTGTCAAATGATTTGATTTGTGTATTCGCCCAGCATCCAATTTACTAAATTCACACTGGGAAAAGGAGATTATAGGAGGACACAGCAGTGAGCAGTTTTCTTTTCAGATCCAGTAAAGCCTGTTAATTTTGAGTGTAGATCTATATCAGAATACGTCATCAGACTGCATTACATGCTGGGGATAAAAGCCATCTAAACCATGATGTTCTTGTTTTGCTAAAACCTACATAGTATATTATACTCCCTGTTCACTACTGGCATTAAGCATATTTAAACCCCAAAACAAAAATGTAAATATTCTAGCTTACTTTACTTGCTGAAAATACCACCTTGCACTAGCCTGAAAGAAAAGAAAACTAATGTAGCCACCACGTCTAAGAACTGGTAAGCTGCAAAATATCTTACTTTTGGGTTTGGTTTTCTTTTAAAATGATGTGTGCAGCCTTTTGAACCTCCTTTATTGTCCTTTTAAGGTTAGACATTACCTGAATTCTACATTTTTATTTTATTTGTTTCATTTTCCTTAGTAGTGGGCATAGTTTTTTTTTTTTCTTGAATTAGATTAAGTTGTGTACTAACTATGATTTCTCTTGTTCCAGAATGCTTTAGTATCTTTCAAGGAACTGTGTGGCTTGACTTCAACTGCCAACATGAAACAGTGTATCCTGACTGTGTCTGCATGGTTACTGAACAGTGAAAGCCCTCTCAATGTGACACTCAACCTCCGCTCACAGTACCCACTTCTAGAGGCTCATGGGCCAGTTCCTGATCTCTTAAAGAAAGTCCTTACATCGTATGAAGTGGTAGGTGTGCATATTTTTATAAAACCCACCTTTGTAAACGATATACTGTGTATGTTTTTTGCTGGTTGTTCATTTTCATTCCAGAAAAGTAGTAGAATACCAATCACAATGAAAATGTAGTGTGCTGTTTACCAATGGCAAATAATGGTATATTTGTGGATATGATGATGTTCCCTTCGTGGTGATCACCTCACTACTTTTTTTTACAATATATTAATATTAGAACAGAATATGTAAAGCCCAAACCCACATTTATTTCACAATATATGTTTGGCTTCCATAAACATTCTTATATTCCAGGGAAGAAAAACCTTCATGTAAAGTTAAAGTCAATCAATCAAGGAGTGCTTGTGGATTGGAGCCTGTTCTTGTACAAAGCCCCAGTCCCAGATGGATCTAATCCAGCATGATTTTTGAATTTACTGTAACAAAGTATGTGATATGTTTTATTACGTATAACATTTTGTTACAGTATTCAAGTTTAGGATCCTTGGGGCTTCAAGGCGAGCTAAAGGAGAAATATAGCTAAAGCTTTTTTGTCTGTTGTGGATTACAGGAGTGTAGTTCGTTCTGCACTCCTGTGATTCGTTTTCAGCTGACAGCATGCTGAATTTGCTCAGCCAGTCCAGACTGGGGAACGATCCTGAGTCATGATCCAACCCAGAGTCTGGAGCGGCGCCTGACTCAGCCTGAGCCAGCCGCTCCCTCTCCCTCTTCAGTCCAGTGAGCACAGGGGAGGCAGAACAGGCAGCGGTGACTGACAATCACCACTCTCTGCTCAGAGAAGCTGTGAGAACTCAGCGATCAGCAGTCATGTGATCGCTGAATTCTCACACTTACAGCCGGTGGGGGACCAATGCTGCATCAGACCAATGCTGCAACCACCTAGGTAAATATAATCTGGGAACCCCCAAACTTCTATTTTAAGCTTGAACTGCCCAGGTTGAACATGCTGTGCACTATTGGGGTACTATTTTTAAGTAGACCCATAAGAGCTGAAAATGGTCTAGACACATCAGGGTAGATATACTAAAACTGGGGCACTCAGTATCTGGTGCAGCTGTGCATAGTATCCCACCAGCTTCTAACTTCATCTTGTTCAGTTAAGCTTTGACAATAAATCCTAGAAGGTGATTGGTTTCTATGCAGATCTGCACCAGATTTTTCACTCTCCAGTTTTAGTGAATAACCCTCATAGTAACACATAATTCAGTATAGAACACATTTAATCACTATTTACAAAAGGTTCTAATTTATCTGAATGATTTCCTTGAATCTGGAACAATATTTATTCCAATATTTTCATGGTAGGTAATCTGACAATAGTCTTTTTGTTTGGCTTTTTGTTGTTCTACTATCTGACATCCCTGTACATACCAGGATTATACTGTTTTCATTCCTGGTCTCGATTTGGTAGCTGAAATGCTATCTGAATCTGCCAAAGTTCAAGCCTTGTATGGCCAGTTTAATTTGCATCTAAAATTGTCTTTAAACCTTAATTCACATTGCCTCTCCTGTCCAGGGCCAGTGTGCCTGCTCTCTAAGGATCCCATCATGCTTTATCAAGCTTTTGGATGCAATGTTACAGCACCCCTGAGGGCCTTGAAATGCTGGGCAGTATAAAATAGACTTTTTACATATTTCTTTTGTGATTTATTTTACACTCCTGCATCTTTCCGAAAATGGTATTGTTCAGAACAGAAAAGAAAGAAAAATGTTTTAAAGATTGACTGAAGAAATTTGCAAAGGGTTATTATTACCTACTGATGAAAGTGTTTGAAATTAAAATGGAGATCTGGTGCCAGAGTCTGTTTAAAGCTACACTCCAAGCCCCATAAAATAAACTGCCTTTTCCTAATAATGTCTTTGCGGATTAAAATGTAAAAAGACATGCATGATACATCATCCCATGCTGTAACACTTCCTTGGATGAAAAATGCCATGGCATGCGAGAGAAACAATGGTAACACCTAGGCCACAACATAGGTTTCTGCTTTGGGCCTACGTCTTTTTTATGGGCAGCTCTGTTACTGGGGAAGGTCGGAAATTTGTGTGACCTGTGAAAGGGTAGCTGCTGCAGTAAATACCTCTGTTGCCACTACTTGAAGCCAGGGTGCAGTGCAATGATGTCAGTGGTTGGACAAATGGATAGAATGGCTGTGCAGTCTCTCTCTTGTTACATGCTTGCTTGAATATGCTGGCTAGCTGACAAGCTCCATTGTAGCCCTACATTGTAAGGAGGTTACCCAGAAAATGTCCTGCAGCTGCTCCAGGGCTTGACAGACACTCCAAATCTACTGTAGGAGAGAAAATTCAACATTATGGCATCACAAAGTAGGTTGATATTCAGAAGTTAGAACCTTATACATTAAATGATTTGAAATGCTTATTATGGTTCCAGTGGACTTACGCAGTGCTTTATATATATATATATATATATATATATATATATATATATATATTGTGCATTCGCATCAGTCCTTAACCCTCAATCTTAGGTCCATAACTCACTTTATTTCTATTTATTTATATTAGGTACTTATATAGTGCTGTCAATTTACGCAGCGCTTTACATATATATTGTACATTCACATCAGTCCCTAACCCTCAAGGGGTGTACAATCTAAGGTCCCTAACTCACATTCATATACAAGGGCCAATTTAGACAGGATCCAATTAACCTACCAGCATGCCTTTGGAGTGAGGGGAGGAAACCGGAGGACCCGGAGGAAACCCATGCAGGCCCAGGGAGAACATGCAAACTCCAGGCAGGTGGGTGCCGTGGTTGGGATTCGAACCGATGACCCTAGTGCTGTCAAGCAGAAGTGCTAACCATTTAGCCACTGTGATTCCCATTTTTATGGAATATCCAGTTTATTGTACCTTTTAGCTTTGACCTTCTAATACCATGATCACACAAGGAATCTTCCTGCCTAATGAGTTAAATGCCGTTTTCCTGGAAATTAACAAAGTCTTTAAAAAATTTTACCCAATAGCTGCAACTGCATATTAAGTCTGACAGGGGTTATGATCCTTCCTTGCTTTATTCAGAATAGAAAAAAAAGGTTTGCATATAGTTCTACTTTTACCTCTTTTCCTCCAAACATAAAGAGTGCCCCCTTGTCCTCTGTGATGACCTCAGGGTGAATAGCTCTACACCGTGTTCACTATATGAACCACTGATGTATTTATACATGTTGATCTGTTGATCATATCCCCCTTTATGTATTATACATGTTGATCATATCCCCCCTAATATCCTCTTCTCAAGAGAGAATAAATTCAGTTCCTCTAATCTTTCCTCATAGCTGAGCTCTTCCATGCCTCTTATCAGTTTGGTCACCCTTCTCTGTACTTTCTCCAGTTCCCCAATGTTTTTTTGTGAATTGGTGCCCAAAACTGAACTGCATATTCCAGATGAGGTCTTACTAATGATTTGCACAGGGGTAATATGATATCTCTCTCTCTGGAGTCTATACCTCTTTTAATACAAGTGAGGATTTTGCTCACTTTAGAAACCGCAGCTTGCCATTATAAAGCTTATGATCTACCAGAACTCCCAGATCCTTCTCCACCATTAATTCCCCCAGTTGTACTGGGTTACCACACTTTGGGGTTGATTTACTTAAACTGGAGTGTGCAAAATCTGGTGCAGCTCTGCATAGAAACCAGTCGTTTTTTTTTTTGTAATGGAACAAGCTGAAGTTAGATGCTGATTGGCTACTATGCACGCTACACCAGATGTTGTCCTCTACAGTTTTATTAAATCAAGCCCATTGCATTTTTCTGAATAAATAAGGGCCAGGGTATAAAGTGCCCAGCCCCAGACTGGACAATGCATACACACATCTCACACTTTGCATGTACTTTGTGGACACCTGGGATACAGATCACCCTTTGACGTGCTACATATTGATTTTGTGAAAACTGCCTTTTGTCCTCTGTCACAGTATGTACTTTGCTGTGTAATCACCCTTCTTCACAAAAGAATGCTTCGTATTTATTATTTGAAAGCATGGCAGACATCTCTTGTGAGTTCTTTACCCAATTGTGTGTTGAAGGTCGCTCTGTATATGAATGGAGGCTGAGTGGATGCTATAGCCGAAACACTGTGAATCAAGAGGAGAAAAAGAAAACTCTTCACTGCCCACCTAACACACAGTACATGCATTGTATGATTCATGGGAATGCGCAGACTGCCCCGCACACAGTATACCTGTATACAAATAGCAGGCTGTGTGTGTGAGGGGGAGTTCTGTCTATTCCTGTTATAAACACTTCCTTTGCTTCTACTAACAGAGGTAATTGGGGTGGTCATGACATTTCAAATGTCTGACCTGAAGCTACTTAGAAACTGTCAAAAAGCTCAGTGTTTCTGTCTAGCAGGAACAGAACGCAGCCTCCGATGGTGTCACACAGCACTAACACAGAGAGCTGATGTGCACAGTGCAACCAATCAGATTTCACTTTGCTGGAGTTAGATCACTGGCAAATGAATTCTGACATAATAAAGCACTCCAAGGGAAAGTAAGAAGAAAGAGAATGATAAAATGTAGCTAAGCATACTAAACTATCTCCTGTTATACTTCTTACTGGTAAAAATGAATTCTGGAAACAAGAAAGTGGTCCTAAGGTCTAATGCAGGCCTTACACGGGTCAAATTCTGAACAAATTTTCTTTAGAAAATCTAATATTTTGTGTTTTGTAATCCGATGGTGCCACAATTGATTTAGAAATTTGACCAACCGTGCCTTTCACCTCATGTTGCTACAAAAAATAATTTTTGGAGCCAAGAATTTTCTTTTTTTTCCAAGTCACAGATCATGCTCATTCCTTCTTCAGTTACATTTCTCGCACTAATCTTCCATCGTTGATTAGAAATTTGGTCGTTTTTCAAAAAATGTTCAACATACCTGATCACTCAAATTTGATGGTTGCTCAAAAATTGGATGTTGATGTGGCCCACTAATAGTGCGAAATTCGAACGAAAATTCTTAGAAAAGATTTTCTAAAGAAAATTATTTCGGAATTCGACTCGTGTATGGCCGGCTTTAAAGTTTTTAACTTTAACGCATTCTCTGCCTTAAGTTAAAAAACTCCCAACTACTGGTCCTAACACC